ATCAACTATCTAGTGGATAATAATAAGAAAGTTAGTTGGTTGGTTGATTGATTTATTGGCTGGTTGATTGGTTGTTGGTCGGTTGGTTGGTTGACTGGTCTGTCGGTTGGTTATTTGCTTGGTTGGCTGGTTTTGTAAGTCTGTTGAATGATCGTTTATTGTTTATTTAAATTAATAGGATTGGTCTGTGAGTTTGACGATAGATGTCTGTTTTATGGCTTAACTTTTAAACACTTCGTCTTTAAAATTACTTAAAATCAAACTAAATTTAAAACTTATTGATCAAACCTTTATACAATAAAAAAATTTCAAAACAAAAACGAAAAAGATCAGATTCCCAGATCTCAAACTCTGAACCCAACAAACAAAAAAATACAATCAGGTCATGAAGTTAGCGAGAAAGTTGGTCGGCAAGAACTTATTCGAGAAGATAATGAAGGCTTCCTTCTATGGTCAGTTCGTGGCCGGGGAAGACGCAGAAAGAATCAAACCAGTGGTCGAGAGGAACATGTCGTTCGGTGTCAAGTCCATCTTGGACTACAGTGCAGAGAAGGATAATCACGTTGAAGAGGCCAGAACCACTGAGTTGAAAGTTTTTCGTCTAATGTTGTTTCATTTTCTTTGAAAATTCCTGACAATCCCATGAAAAAATGAATTTTTCTCAATTTGAAATAAAAAATGAAAAATATCTTAGTAAATATATGTAATCGTCGTTAAATTGAATTTCGAACACGTGTGTCATGTTCTTAGTACGTGCACTGTTGGTTGAGTCTGTATGGTCGTTGTGTGTGAACATGTTTTAAATGTGTGTGTGTGTGTGTATTTAAAGCTGTTGATATGGTTAACATTAACGTGTTTTCTATTTACTAACTTAACTGGCTGGCACGATTCGTAGGAACAATGTATAGCTTTGTTGGGGTGACATAGAATGAGATTTAAAAATTCTATTCAGCGGTGATTGAAACGAACGGCAATAGTAAATAAATGAATGAATGAATGAATTTATGAATGAATGAATGAATAAACAGAATATTTTTTTCATAATTTAATTAAGTTTTGAATACGTATATTCGTAACAAATATAAATTGTTGTATTTGTATGTAAGACGATGATCATTTTAAAATATTTAAACGTTTCAAAAAATCTCCTATTTGAAGTTCTCCTAACAGAGGACTGACTATACTTTATCATACAACGCCTGCTTTCATGTCTCGTCTCCAAATAGGAATTTCTTTCCTTCGTTCCTCCAACGTTATGACAACGAATTCAATTAAAAAATAAGTAAATAATAAGAAAAATAAATAAATAAAAATAGTGCTACTACAATAAAAACAATAACTACTGATACTATCACTACTACTATTCCTACTACTACTACTTTACTACTACTACTTTACTACTACTACTACTACTACTACTACTACTACTACTACTACTACTACTGCTGCTGCTGCTGTTACTACTGCTACTACTACTACTACAACTACTACTACTGTAGTGGTACTAATACTGATTCTAATAGAAACAAAACAACAAAGCCGTCAACTAAATCAGCTGCAAGTAAGACTAATAAATTTAAAATGTAAAACAAAGTTGTAAAATTTTTAACCGAAAAAATTCAAAAACAACTCTAAAAGCAACATGACTAATTTTCAAATGTCATCTTTCTTAAAGCATACATGTAAAGTTATCCTCTATTTAACTAAACCTACCTACTAAACATTATTTTCATATCATTACTTTAACGGTGTGTGCTGTGTGCGTGTCTCTCTCTCTCTCTCTCTTTATTTCTCTCTGTCTGTGTCTCTCTCTCTCATTTCTCTGTGTGTCTGTGTGTGTGTCTGTGTCTTTTTTTATTAACTTTCTTTTGCGGATAACTACTACGATACGAAGGATGGTCATTTTATTGAACGCCTTGTTTAAATGAGCAAAAAATTGCGTTACAGATGATGTTTGTTTACTAGAATTTAATTAATTAATTAATGTAAGAATAGCATGTAATGAATAATTAATTATTGTATAGTTGATTTTAATGAATTAATTAAATGGACAACTGGGCGCGCGTGTTTGCGTGCGTGTGTGTGTGTATGTGTACGTGCGTGTGTGTGTGTGTGCAGCTTGCATACATTGGCATAGTAATGAATTGAAGAATGTCATCATGGGTTAAAGTAGTTATTTAATCAGGTATTTTCTTCATTTTAAACTACGACTGACGTGTCATAATATTTATAAATTTTTAAATAAAATAATAAAAAAAAATATTAATATTTTGTTAGTTATTATAACTCTGTTTATAATTTCAGAGTTTATAACTCTGCTGGCTGACTAAGGCTTTTTGAAATGAATGCTGGCCAAAATCGCTTGAAAATATTTTTCAATTAAAAATTGATTGGTGTGAAATTTTACTTCAGATCGCTGGGTACTGCCGACAAGACCATATGCGACGGTATGAATTACATTCTTCAAATGAATTTATAAAAACTATTTTGCTCTAATATTTCGAAAAGAATTTTAAATTGAAATGAATGACGAAAGAAATTAAACCAAAACACCATGAAAAAAAAAGATAAAAAAAACTAATGAAGAAAAAAAATTTAACAAAAATAAAAAAGCGGACGACAAAAAGTTCAGCCCCTCGTACGAGTTCGGTGACAGACGGGAGCACGTGATCAGTGCCAGGACCTACTTCTACGAAGATGAAAAACAGTGCGACGAGAACATGCAGCACTTCATCCGAGGCATCGACGCCGTTTCAGGTCAGTTTCTGGAGTCAAAGGTCAAGGTCGAGTGGTTGAAGGTCGTTAGTTCGAAGGTCATAGAGTTAGGCTTTGTTAAGGTAATGAATGAGCGCTGGATAAAAGATTTGTAAAATTCCAAGAAGGTCGATGATGTTTATTTTTTTATTTAATTTAATGGTTAATTGTCTTTATGATATTATAATTTATGAAATCCCTTCTTGTTTGTTGAAAAACTCACTGGAGAGTATTGCAAAAACTTTTCGTTTCAGGCGCCACGAACGCTACTGGGTTCGCCGCCGTGAAGTTGACAGCGCTAGGAAGACCGCAGTTTCTCGTTTGTATTTTTGATCATAATTTATTTTCATTCGTTATGTTGTACGTGCTGTTGATACCTTGGGAAATTAATTAAGAGAGAATTTGGAAAAGAAATAAAATAAAGAAAAACTACCGTCTCCATCACAGTTACAACTTTCAGAGGTGTTGGTACGTGTCAGACGATACTTCGATACACTGGCTCAATGCTACGGAACTGGAACGGTCACCAAGCAGGACTTCGAAAGACATCTGAAGAGTTTCAATCTGGACCAGGAGGAGACGCAACGCTGGTTCACCGTGCTCGACTGCACCAAGGATGGGTCTGTGTGTGTGTGTGAATAATTTTTTAAATTTAAAAAAAAATCAAAGGTGTGTGGATAGATTTTTAAAAAACTTTCAAAATTAACAAAAATGTGACATTTGGGAATTTATTTTCTTCCGAACTCTGCTGCATTATTGCAAGACCAAGTGCGTCAAAGCATTACACATCTCACCGCCCTAATAACATTAACATCTTGTTTAAATGAAACTTTTAAATTTGTATAGTTTAACTTTTTAGACTTTTTTTAAACTTTCGTTTGTTCGACCTTTAACCTTTATTGATTTCTGCGTTATAATTTTTCAAATATCCAGAGAAATTGACCTCTTAGATTGGCACAACTTACTCGAGGTCAACGTCAGCCTCGCCAAACTGCTCAGGGTACCAAATCTAAGGGTGACTACTAGCAAATATTTTATCATATCGTCATAGTCGTCGTCATCATCGTCGTCGTCTTCATCTCCATAGCCATCAGCATTATAATTATTATTATTTTAACTTATCAAGTTAATTGTTTTTAAATTTAATAATTTACAATTGCCCCAACCAGACCGGCAAGTTGGAACCCTTGGTGAAACATCTGACCGACGTTGAAGAGGAACAAATGAAGAACATGCTTCACAGGATCGACAAAATTCTTAAAGTCAATTTTTGATTCCACAAAAATTGTTTAACTTTTAATTTAATTTTATATATATATATATATATATATTTCAAATTTTCAAGGTTTAATACTTTAATACAATCGTCTCAACTCAAGCCCGCAAAACTTAAGCGTAATTTATTATAAATCTATTAATACCAGTAATTACTATTAACTATGATTAATAATATTATTGTTATCAATAATATTTGAAATATAATAATAAATAATGTTCATTTTATTTTCCCGCCAATAGTACGCCGAAAGTAAGGATGTGCGTGTGATGATTGACGCCGAGCAGACGTACTTCCAAGCGGCCATCAGCCGTCTCTGCATGGAGATGATGAGGAAATATAATGGAAAGAAAGCGACAGTCTTCAACACGTATCAGTGCTACTTGAAAGATGCCCACAACCTCCTCTGCAATGACCTGGCACTGTCGAAAAGGGAAGACTTTTATTTTGGGGCCAAACTCGTTCGCGGGGCTTATATTGATCAGGTTTTGATGCGGTTGACCTTATAAGTTTGGTGGTCAGTTTTTTTTCGTACCATGACATGACAACCCTGATATTTTCGAATCTTATTTGTATCTTACAAGCTTAGTTGTTTGTTTGAATGAACGATGGTCGGGCTTGACTGGTTTGAAATAAAATGCAGATGACACCGAGTTCGCCATATCTTTCTTGGTCTTATTAATTTGATAGTAAATTTGTTTCAACGAGTTAAATTTCAATGAGTATTTATTGATAAATTGAAACGTTTTTAATAAAATTTCAATTGATTTTTCAAAATTTAATGGTTTGATCGCCGATAGGAGAAACTGCGAGCTCAGACCCTCGGTTACGAAGACCCGATCAACCCTTCTTACGAAGCCACCAGTCAAATGTTTGAGAAAACAGTAGGTGAAGTTATGAGGAGTATCAACGAACGACCAAAAGGTTTCTAATTATTTCGTTTTTATTTTCATCACGTAAGAGTTATTTCGGCTGTTAGTCTGTCAGTGAGTAATTTTTGTGGGAAAAATTTTTTTTGAAAAAATTTCTTTGAAATAACTATTTTCTTTAATAAATCGGAAATTTCCCTAATTTTATTTGATTATTATACTTATTAACTCATCCTAAAAATCATTTTTTGTTGAAGGAACAGTTTGAAATGAACATTTTTATATTTATTTGAAAATTTTCAAGTGTAAACTAGTCAAGTTGCACGTGACGTGTACATTAATTCTTTCTTGAAGGTAAAATAGCAGTGATGATGGCCACCCACAACGAAGATACTGTGAGAATGGTGCTGAAGAAGTACGCTTGAGACCAACTTTCAATTTTACATTCATTTTAAATTTTGTTTTTTTTTCTGAAAATTAAAAAAAATGTTTCTATATATTTTTAATCCAATTTTTGTATATCACCTCAAAAAAAATTCATAGGATGCAGGAGTACGAGATCAAATCTACGGACAAACTGATCTGCTTCGGCCAGTTGTATGGAATGTGTGATCAGATAAGTTTCTCGCTAGGTATCCGCATTCATTGTCGTTCGCTTTATAGATTTTTTTTTTCAATTTTGTAGACAATATATTTATCAATTTTACTTTACAATAGCAGTTTCAACATTTATAAACATTTTTAGTTCGGTTTCTCAGTTTAGCAACTGTATTTAAATTAGATGGTAGGATCCTAAATAATTTTAAATAAAACAATCCAATATGGCGTAATAATTACGGGAACTGAATTATTGCAAAAATTTTCCTAAACATTTAGGTCAAGCGGGTTATTCCGTCTACAAGTACGTACCATACGGACCCGTGGAAGAGGTGATACCTTACTTGTCGAGGAGAGCCATCGAGAACAGAGGGATCTTAGCCAAAGTAAAAAAAGAGAAAAAACTTTTGAGGTCTGAGATATGGAGAAGGTTCTGGAGACTAAAATGGTTTTACAAACCACCCAGGCCTGACATTCTCAAACAACATCAACCACAGCAACCACATCAACCACAACTACAAAAAACGGAACAACAATACAAATCACCTTCGTCACCATCGTCGCCACGTCAGACACCACAGATTCTTCGGAGCAGCGCAGCGCCTAAATAATTGTTTCAATATTTTTTTTATTCATTCATTCTAAACTGTTTTTTGAAGATTGACCTAATTTGTTTGTTATGTTAATTCTTCTATAATTTCAACGACTTTCATCAAACTATAACGGCCAATTACAGATCAAAAACTAAGCTTTCTTTCATCTTTTTCTCCACAATATTGAAAAACTATCTGAATCTTTCTGACTGGCCTGCAAATTTTTCATAAATTGTAAATACGAATGTATGTTAATAATCAGACCATGCAAAGTTGCAAACAGAACGATTGTTTCATTCAGATAATTCTCCTTATCTCAACATCATACTGACTTTTCAGATTTTTTTTAACAGTTTCAGTATATATGTAGCTATATATTTTATATACACAACGTGTTTATACATAACAATGTATTATATATATATATATATATATATATATATATACCATAATAATAGACCATAATTTTTACAATATTCTATAAATTCTACCGAATGTTTGGCGTTAATATGTTTGTAGTTCGATTTTTCGATTTTTCTCATTAAAGTTTTTTGGTGAACGTTTAGTTTATTAAAATTCAAAATAAACTTATTTTTCGAATTCATGCTGCAAATAAGGCCATATTTCGATTCCGAATGAATCATCATCAGTGCTCCTTGCTGTATATATATAGGGAAATATTGACTTTGTCAAGATGAACTTTGACGTTGTAAAAATTAACTTTGGTGTTGTAAAATTGAACTTTGATGCGAATTAGGTGTCAGGTTTCTTTATTCGCTGGTCATCTTTTTTGGTCTCCTTTTCTTCATCGATAGCATCATATTCTTCTTTGTCACTATTTACGATGCTAGTTTTTATTACTTCTTTGTTTTCGTGGTGTCTGACAACGTTCACCAAAAAACTTTAGTGAGAAAAATCGAAAAAACGAACTACAAACATATTAACGCCAAACATTCGGTAGAATTTATAGAATATTGTAAATATATATATATATATATATATATATATATATATATATATATAGCGATGTTTTTTTTATAAAATTAATGATTAACATTGTTTTAACGTTTTATCGAATTTTATTTAACTTTGATAATGAAATTGGGCTTAATAGCCTACATATTAGATTTTACGCAACAGACAAACAAAACACTTTACGTATATATCTTATTTGAAGAACTTTGAAATAAAATTAATTTAAATTGCAAATCATTGTTCTAGAAATGACTCTGTCAGTTAAATATTTAGAGGCAACTCCCTTAATACATTTAAAAACCGTTAGACATATTTGATGAATTGATGACCGGAAGCTAGTGAAGAGCAAAAAGAATTGGCCTAATGTGATCGTATTTAAGGCCGCCTGAAACCAACATTGCAGCCCAATTTTGAACCGACTGCAGTCTAGACATATTTACACCAGACAGGTCGTAATATAGACTATTGCAATAGTCTATTTTTGATTGGATAAAGGAATGAACAAATTGAAGAGTATGCTTGCTTAAAAGTCGTTTGATGCGCCTAAGCCTATGCAATTGTCCAGAGCATTCTTTCGAAACTGCCCTTGTAGGAAGGTTAAAAGACATGTTATTGTCAAAGACAAATCCCAGGTTGCGTTGATATCATTGTTATGAAGGTTTTTGACGTAATTATCCGGTAGGAAAAGTTTGCTCAAAGTCAGCGTTAAACTTTAAAAACCCAGTAAACATCTCTTAATCGTAGCGAATCTCCAACTTACTGGCAAGATTTGTTACAATAAAGTATCAAATTTTATTATAAAATAACTGATTATTTCGAGTAAATAATATTAAATGATTGAATAATATAAGATATTATTAATTAAATATAGATAAAAACCCTCAACTTTACAAAAAATTGTTGATCGAACTAGTTAAAAATCGCCATAAAATGCGAAAATCTTTATTTTTTCCAACTTTTGCTGATTTTATGATATAAAAATTTGATCTTTCGTTTAAAAATATATAGAGATTTAATAACTCCAAAGATAAAACAAAAAAAATGGCAATTTACATTTCTATTTTATTATTTCAATGCTATATTTTTTTCTTCGCTTTGTCATTAAAGTACAGTAAGAAACTCAATAACAGTTAAAATACAAACAACAATAATAACAATAATCAGAAAAATAACAATAACAACGGTATCAAAATGATAACAACAATAACAAAAAATACTAAATAACTACGGGCGTATTAGGGCCAAACATAGGAAGTATGTGAAGAATGTGAAGGCGATACCTGGTATGTTGCAGCATAGTATGGTTGTGATGGATGTGACATCAAAAGAAATGGGGAGGAGGAAGAAGGATAAGTTTGTGGCAAAGAGAAAGACATGGAAGTTGCAGGATGCAGAGGTGAGGAAGGCATTTGAAGTGAAGGTGACTGAAAATTGGGAGAGTGGTAAGGATGGAGATGTTTGGGAGAGATACAGGGACTGTGTGTTGGCTACGGCAGATAAAGTATGTAGATGGACGAAAGGAAAGTGTAGGCATGGTGAGACGTGGTGGTGGGATGAAGATATAAGAAGGGTTTTGGAAGTCAAGAAGGAGAGGTTTAGGGTATGGAGAAGGGACATGACGGAGGAAGCGGAGTCTGAGTATAGGAAGGCTAAGAAGGTTGCAAAACAGGCAGTGGCAACTGCAATGACGAAAGCATCAGATAGGTTAATGAAGGAAATGGAATCTGATGTGAGTTCGAGGAAAATGTTCAAAGTAGCAAAGCAGTCAATGAGGGATAGGAAAGATGTTATAGGGAATGGATGTGTTTGGGATGGATCTGGCAAGTTGTGCATAGATGAGGAGGAAAAAGCTCAGGTGTGGAAAGCTCATATGGAAAGGTTGATGAATGAAGAGAATGAGTGGGATGGAGATGTGGAATCCGTGGTCACCACACGGACCTATAGAGAAGGGAC